GCAGCCCCACCGAAGAATGGTGAGAAGTACGGTAGACGCAAGTGCAAGCTTTGCTGGTGAGTATTTGAATTCTCCACGTTGACTATGTCTCATATTTTTGAAGGTCAAAATACAGCAAGGACTTTAATCCTGTTGCTGAACCCATGACTCTCCGACGACATGCCGAATCGACCCATCGTGTATGTACCTGTTCAGTGCTTCAAACTTCTAATCCAGACTAAATTTACTATCAGGGCGATTACTTGAATTGGTGTAAGAGAGAAGGCTTCATCTCGATGCTCCCCAAATGTTCTCGTGAACGGCGTCTCAAGGCTGTTGAGAAGGCCCAGGCAGAACAAACACAAGTCGACAGTCACTTTGGTCCTGCCCCACCAAAGGTGGAGAAGCAAGCTCCGTACTCCGATGAACTATTTAATGAGGCGGCAATCCAATGGTTAATCGAGACAGATCAGGTAAGTTTTTCATAACTTCTTATATCCTCATACTCACGCTTGACACCCGCAGCCCGTTCAAGCATTTGAACACCCGGCGTTTAAACGGATGATCAACATCGCTGCTCAGGCAACTCGCGACGTCAAGTTCCTCGACTGAAAACAAACTCAGGCAGAAATTGTTCGGTTTTTTAAGGCTCAAATGACACGGCTCAAGAATCGACTTAATGTCTGTGTATTTTATTCTACCATGTTACTCCGTATCAACCATTCTTCTAGGATAAATCCAAGGTTAAGGGTCAGATTAGTTTAACGTGCGATGCGTGGCAGGCTTCAAATGCAGACAGTTACTTTGCTGTCACAGGCCACTGGATTGAAGAGAGCGCTGATGGTAAATCATGGTCACTACAGCATGCTCTGTTTGGTTTCACGCAAATGAACACGTCGCACAACGGAAAGTGTCTTGGGCAGGCACTCTTCAAAATTTGTGATCGCCTGGGTATTGTTCATAGAGTATGTTTATTTCTTCACGCGAAAAGCTACTGAATATAATTCTTCCAAGATCGGTCATATAACATGCGACAATGCATCGAATAATAACACTATGATGAGAGAGTGGGCATTTCAGTACAGACAGAAAACCGGATGTGTATTCGATATCAAGCAACGTCACATGAGGTATGAAATTCCATTTAAAAGGTATGAACTTTGATTGAAAATGGTCTCCGCCACAGATGTTTAGCACATATAATCAACCTTGCGACACAGGCGCTAATCTCAACAAGGAGTAAGACTAAGCACTTCAATCCCCATTCAGAAGAGGAACACATGCCTGTGGTCATTGGGCCCGATTGTGATGAAACAGGCCTAGTCCGTGCTATAACTGTAAAGGTAAATTTTATCATTCCTCGATTTCTTTATTTGTTACCATTCTACGCACAGGAGCGATCATCTTCGCAAAGAAAACAACATTTTAAGGACATTCAAATACGTGAGGGTATCCAAATCCCCAAGCAGCTTATCTTGGACATGAAGATCAGGTGGGGATCTACATATGCGATGCTAAATAGAGCCGAAAACCTCAAAAAGGTATTTCGTCCATTTACACACCTTCTATTTAATCACTTTATACTTTTCAGCACGTTGATGTTTTCGTTTACGAACTTGGAGTTAAATTGAAGGACGATCTTGGGAAAAGAGCAAAGATCGATGTGTTGTCTATGACCGCAGCTGAGTGGGGTCGTGTACATGATCTTTGCTCGCTCCTTGGCGTGCGTGAACTCTCATTTTTTGATGTGTAACTACTAATGATGTGTGATATGTTTGGCCGTTGCATAGCACGCCGATAAGGCGCAGCATGCGTTTTCATCCACTAATATCCCATCACTCTGTCATGCCCTCCCCGCAATTGAAGCGCTCCACTCTGCATGGTCCAAGCACGCTAAATGCCCACATTATGCCCCCTTCCATGATGCGCTCGACACCGCCACCCAAAAGCTGGAAGAATATTACACAGACAAGACTGCTGACTCCAATGCTTATATTATGGCCATGTGTTCGTCTCTCTCTCTTTTTTTTTCTCAAGTTGCTGAGTGAATGTGATCTAGTACTGAATCCATCCATCAAAATGTCGCATTTCAAGAAACACTGGTCAAAAGAGTTACAGAAGGAGGTAATCGATGTGGCGCAAAAACTGGTACTTAGCCTATGCTTTCTGTTCATGTCTAAAGACTCATTTATTTTTATATCAGTTCCAAGAGCGTTATGAAGAACTCAACAAGGAGTCTACTTCAGAAATACGGTCACCAAAGAAAAAAACAAAACTCGATCACCTGCTTCGCGAGCTGGATACAGATTCTGACAATTCAGGTGATGTTTCCGACGACGACACTGATGATCAAGATCCAAAAAAACCATGGCTTGTCGAGTTCCACCGGTTTCTCAAGGTTGAGCACGTTTTGGCTGAAGGCATGACTGTCGTTCAATGGTGGGGAGTACGTATCTGTACTTCATTTACTGATTTCGGATGACTTACTATGCTCAGGAGTATGGCCACCGCTACCCAACATGGGCATCATTGGCTCGCGACTATCTGGCTGTCATGGCATCATCTGTGTCAAGTGAATGGGCATTTTCGGCTGCAGGCATTACTATTAGCAAGCGCCGCAACCGACTCAAAGGTGACATTGTCGAGGCACTTCAGTGCTTGAAGTGCCTCTATCATCAGGATCTGATTTTTCGTGAGGTGATAACTTGTTCAGAGGAGGAAGACGTACTTGATGAGGCTCTCCCTGAGATTTTAGACGGTTCAGATGGGTTTGCATGGGATCAGATACTCCTTGATGATGAGGATCTTGATTAGTTGCCTTGCTAGAATTATTAGATTATGTTACTGTCCATATTTCTCAACGAAATTAAGATGTACAAGACGCCTTTCTTTATCTCTACACATCTAAATTGTTTTCGGAGAAAGGGAATCTTAGTGTGGTGGTCATTTGCGTGAATACAATTCCTCGACAGATTGTTTGTACATGTTTTTCAACTTTAGCCCATGAGCCGTGGCCTGAGCCTGAGCCAGGCCTGAGCCAGCCTAAAGCCTTGCAAAAAGCTCAGGCTTGAAATTGGACGAGCCTGAGCCGTGCAAAGCCGGGCCATAGCCGTGGCTTTCAGGCCAAGCCGGGCCTGCACATCACTAACCCGAGCATCCGGTTGGGTCAACTGGTCCCATCGGGGTCGTGGGATTTAGCCTGATTTGACACGTGCATCCAAATGTCACAGTAGTAGTCACAAATTCTTATCTGTACATAGATCAGTTAGGTGTATGGCTCTTTGCCTCTGTAGCACGTTCCATAAATTCGATAAAATGAGAAGAATACTCGAGCATTGTGCACTCTGCGCAAGGTGGGTAGTTTGTACTGAGAATAGTTTTGAGGCATCTTTTAGATCGAAGATATATTTCATTTTCTTCTTCTCCAAACGAGACAGGTTTCCATCCCATCACTTTCACCTCATGTCGATGATATGGATAAGTTTCCCAGATCGAGCCTGGAAGCCACTTGATACCCAAACCTGAGCAAGGAACTTCTTGCACTCCAGTAACCACGATCCGAGGCACAATAGATGGTGGAGGAGGAGGCGGTGGAAGACCTTGATTTTTTCGTGTTTGTAGGCATGGTCCCATACCACGGTGAAGCAGAAAGTTCCGTGGATTTGCTGTTGTCGTCGGAGAAATGTGTTGGAATTTCAAGCGGATCACGTTCGTGAAACAACCGTAGTTATTCCTCAATTGTTCCGTAGGCTTCCGTAGGTACATGTGATGCTTTCTTATTTCAAATTGGACTACGTATTTAGGTAGCTAATCACAATGCACAGACCTCGCGCGTTTGCGAGGGTCCCTGTCCACCCGAGTGAACGAGGCGAAACGTTCATTTCAACACAAACGCGCAACATACCCTCTGTCTAAACTTGGTTCCCCGAGTCCAACTCCTCCTCTCGAGCTCAGCCCTTGGCCAGAGCTGCTTGACATATAGGTTGCAGAACCTTCAATACTGCAGAAGACGGCCGCAGCTCTGCTATTGCTGTAGAAGAACCCACCGAAGTTTTTTTCCATTTTCCATTCCCTCACACCCCTTTTCGCCATGTCGACAACCGAAACGTCTGCTCGTTTCCAGCGTCTCAACAACACCAACTACGCCGAATGGTGCCTCCGCATGGAGGCCGTTCTTGTTCGTGCAGGCTTGTGGGGGATGATCCACCCTGAAATCGACCATGTCAAGGGGGACGGCGTGGAGAAGGATGCGTCGACGATCGCATTGGAATTCGAAGCCGCACTGAAGGCGCGCACCGTGACGAAGATGAATGAAGCCCGAGCAGAGATAATCTTGCGCCTTGAAGATGGCCAGTTGTCTCACTGTCTTCGATCGAATGATCCTCGTGAGATCTGGCTTGTTTTGGAAGGTGTGCACCGTGCTGCTGGCTTTGCGACTGGCCTGGCCCTCCGCCGCAAATTCCTCACACTCAAGAAGGCCCCTTCCGAGACCATGCAGGCCTGGATTGGCCAGATACAAGCCCTCGGATTTCGCCTGGAGCAAGCCGGGATTGCTGTTAGTGACCAGGACAAAATCCTTGCCCTCACCATGGGCCTTCCCTCTTCCTATGACGCTGTTATCATCAACTTTGACTCTACCCCATCGGATCAACTTACCTTAAGCCACGTTATCTCCCGCTTGCTCAACGAAGAGGTCCGCCAAACTTCAGGCAGCCAATCCAGCAACACCGTGACCGACAACTCATCGGAAGAGATTCGTGACGAAGCAATGGCAGTTACTGGGCGTGGAGGACGACGGGCTGGGGGAGGCGTCTCATCAGATGTTGTATGCTTCTTCTGTGACAAGAAGGGACATTACAAATCCGATTGCCCTGATAGGCTGGCTTGGGAGAAGGAGAAGTCGAAGAAGAATTCGAAGGGCGAGGCAGCAGCAGCGATTTATTGTGGTTCAGATTCCGAGGAGGATGTCGCATTCTGAAGAAAGGTGGAGATTTACGGGGGCGAGCTTCCGGGGGTGCGTAACAGATTTTATGAATATCTGTTTTTCCTTCCTTCTGTCTGTGTTGCGCTCGCGGGGGTGCGTTTCTTTTGTTTCTACTCCGTGTTACGCTTGCGGGGGTGTGTTGGAATTTCAAGCGGATCACGTTCGTGAAACAACCGTAGTTATTCCTCAATTGTTCCGTAGGCTTCCGTAGGTACATGTGATGCTTTCTTATTTCAAATTGGACTACGTATTTAGGTAGCTAATCACAATGCACAGACCTCGCGCGTTTGCGAGGGTCCCTGTCCACCCGAGTGAACGAGGCGAAACGTTCATTTCAACAAAATGTCCGTACTGCAAAGATCACATTGAATACTGTGCTTCCCAGTAATATTATTGGTTGTGGTTGTTATCCTAGGAGCGCCAGGGAGTTGAATTTCCTTTGGATCTTCAGCTGCGGGTTGAGGTTTTGGCATTTCTCTCAGTGAGAATGGGGGGAAGGAACAACAAATTGATTGAAAAGCCTGTCTACGGTGAAAACACAACATGCAAGGCAGATATTTTACGTGTTATGGTAAGGGTCTTCAATTGAATCTGTGGAGCGCGTTGAAGCAACGTTGAAGGCGCGTGCTAAATGAGCGCGGGCGTGACAATCATTTTGGGATTGCACGTGTTGACTCCCATGACCCCGATGGGACCAGTTGTCCTAACCGGATGCTCGGGTGGTTGCCCCTTGGTAGCACGTCCTGCGCTGTGCTCAATGAGCATTGAGAGTGGGTTCATGTTCTGTCCGCGCAGCAGCTCTCCTCTTGCTCTTCCTCAGTCATGAGGAAAGGCCCTGCCAGAACAATGTTACCCGCCTTACTCCTTCTTCTTCTTACCCCAACTACAACTTTGGCACGCAATGCTTCGAGCGTCGACACGTATCATACCACTTCGTCATTACTCTCCGTGAGTCCTCTGACCTCGATCTACTATTGAGTGTCGTGTTGATGGGTGCGTTGGTAGAGTTCTTTAGTACCACCAGGTCAGCCTTCCCTTCCCTTCCTTTCACCCCACGACAAATCGAAGCTGACTCGTATACTTACAGCAAAGTGCCCACCATGCTTCAACTGCCTCCTCCCCGTCTTTACATGTGGTCAATACGGGTACTGTGATCCATACGACGGGCAATGTAGATGCCCCCCTGGATGGGGCGGCATCGATTGTCTCAATCCTCGTGCGTCCTTCTCCTTCCTTCGTATCGACTGAACTGACCTGGACGGATGGAGACAGAATGCGACTCGTTAGCAGACGGAGACCAGCGTCGTCTTCGAGAAGAGGGCAAGTCGTGTGAATGTAAAGATGGTTGGGAGGGTATCAATTGTAATGGTGCGCGTCTCTCCTTCCCTTTTCTTCACTTTCCCCGCTGACGCTTAACAACAGTATGCAACAACGACAACGCATGCATCGGTTTCCCACTCGCAGCCGGTATATCCCACTTAAACGACGACGAAGGCCCAGTGGCGAATATGACATGCTACAAAGGCGGCGAAACGGTATTCAACAATCATCAAATGTGTGATATCACCAGTGAGCCTTTCCCTCCCTTCCCCACCTAACGCTAACACCCACCCAAAAACAGACCGTAAAATAATCGACATGCTACCCGGCCGACCACCCCAAGTAACCTTCTCCTGCTCCTCCCTCGACAAAACCTGCGCCTTCCAATTCTGGACGGCCCAAGTCGAGTCGTTCTACTGCGCCTTGGAGGAATGTACTTCTGCGCATGTACCGGGGTGGGATACCAATTCGACGGTGTATGCGTGTGAGAGGGTTAAATGCGCTTGTGTACCGGGACGGTTTATTTGTGGTAAGGATGGGAGTGTTGGTGCGTTTCGTTTCATCTCCCATCTTTCCTTTTTTACACGTTGTTATTGATGATGATGATGTGGACTGGTAGACATCGGCGATTTCCTGAAAGAAGAAATCAAAGGCCCCGCCAAGTTGAGCTGTAAATCGGGGACGGGGTGTAAATTCGAGGAACCGGCCATGAATGATTTGATTGACCAGATCTTTGGAGATGCGTATATTACGTTGAGGTGTGAGGGTGGAGAGTGTTTGCATTATTCGCAGGTTCCTGGATATGTTGTACGTCTCTCTCTCTTTTGAAGTAAACGATTGTGCTGATGACGATGGGATGATAGAGACCACCCAAACCGGATAACACCAAATGGGTCGCATTAAGCGCAGCTAGCGCCGGCCTCATCGTCCTTCTCTCATCCCTAGGTACTATCCCTTCCACCCACCCTTTCATAAACCCCACCCTCTAACATTCTAAATCACACAGTAATCTGGTACGCAGGCCGAACCTCCCTCAACCCCACCCCCTCCCAAATCCGTCTCCCCGCCCACGAATCCGCAAAACTAATGTCCGAACACGTCCCCGCCTCATTACACTTCACCTCCCTATCCTACACCCTCCCCTCCTCCCACCTCATCCTCGACTCTATCTCCGGCTCTGCTTTGCCCGGCCAAGTCCTAGCTATAATGGGCGCCTCTGGGTCCGGCAAATCTACTTTCCTTGATATTTTGGCGAGGAAGAATAAGAGGGGGGTGGTGAAGGGTGAGATTAGGGTTAATGGACGGGAGGTGGGCGATGAAGTTTTTAGGGGTCTTGTGGGGTTTGTGGATCAGGAGGATACGTTGATGGGGACTTTGACCGTTTATGAGAGTGTGTTGTATAGTGCGCTCTTGAGGCTTCCGAGGGAGATGAGTATTGAGGCGAAGAGGTTTAGGGTTCTTGAGACGCTTGAGGAACTGGGGATATTGGGGATTAGGGATGTTAGGATTGGGGAGAGTGGTTTGTTTTCTTTCATCGTTTTTTTTGGGGGGTTGTAGTGAGCTAATTGACTGATAGGGAAGAGAGGCATTTCGGGCGGTGAGAAGAGGCGCGTGTCGATTGCTTGTGAGCTCGTTACGAGCCCTTCCATCTTATTCCTGGACGAACCTACTTCCGGTGCGTTTCCTTTCCCTCCCCCTCCCCCTTCTTTCCCCTCCTCCTTCCCTACTAACCCCATTTTCCCCCCCAGGTCTAGACGCATACAACGCCCACAACGTCATATCCTCCCTCGTCTCCCTCGCAAGGAACTACAACCGTACAGTGGTTTTCACGATCCACCAACCGCGTTCCAACATCGTCGCGATGTTTGATAAACTTGTGTTGTTGAGCAAGGGGAAGATGGTGTATTCGGGGGATTATGTGGGGTGTCAGGAGTATTTTGGGGGGGTTGGGATGAGGTGTCCTGAGGGGTATAATTTGGCGGATTATTTGAGTAAGTTTTTTTTTTTTCTTTTTTTTTTTTTTTTTTTTGGTTTTCGGGTTTTTTGGTTTTTTTGGTTTTTTGGGGGGTTTTGAAGGGTGTTTGAAGAGATGGGGTGCGTTGGTGTTGGTCTTTTGCCTGTTGCTGGCGTTTTGTGATGGCGTTGGGTTGAGCAGAAGGAGGGGGTTGTGCTACTGTTGCTGTTGCTTCTGCTGGAGAGGCGAAAGGGGTCGCTGTGCTGATGCTGCTGTTGATTCCTGTGTTGGGGATGCTGCTGTTGGCGTTGGTGTTGAGGCTGGGTTTCATGTTCGTGGTGTGGTGTTGCTCTTGCTGCTGTCAGCATTGGTACCAGGGATGGCGTCGGCGCTGTTGTTGGCTCTGGTGTCCTTTGGGATCATGCTGGCAAAGTCCTCTTTCTTTCCTGGCCAGTGATGGCGTTGGTTCTGGTGTTCGTGCTGCCGTTGGTGTGGGCAAATTTCCTTTCTTTCCTCTCTTTGCGGTTTTTCGGGTTTGGAGGGGTTTGGCGGGTTAAGGGAGGACGAGGAGAAGAAGGGGGGTTGTGTTGCTGTTGCTTCTGTTGGAGAGGAGGAAGCGGCCGTGGTGCTGGTGCTGATGTCGATTCCTGTGTTGGGGATGCTGCTGATGGTGTTGGTGTTGAGGCTGGTTTTCATGTTCGTTGTGTGCTGATGCTGGTTCTGGTGTTGCTCTTGCTGCTGTTAGTGTTGAGGCCTTTGATGGCGTTGGTGCTTTCCTTTCCTCTCCTCTCTGATGCTGCTAGTCCCGTTGGCTAATCTTACCACCTCCCACAGTCGACATGACCACACGAGCATCAATGGAACCCCGAAGCAGCAGCAACGAATCTCTCCAAATCGACATCTCACCCGCTTCAGACGACAGCACCAATCTAGGAGACGAAGAACGCGGTCTCCTCGCACCGCACCACGTCCCC